GATTGGAGGAAGAATCATTAACAACCTGAGATACTCTGACAACACAACTTTGCTTGCTGAAAGTGAGGATGACTTGAGGCACTTACTGATGAAGACTGAAGAATACAGTCTGCAGTATGGATTACATCTCAATATAAAGAAAACAAAAATCCTCACAACTGGACCAATAAGCAGCATCACGATAAATGGAGAAAAGGTTGAGGTTATCAAAGAATTCACATTGCTTGGTTCTACAACTGATGCCAATGGAAGCAGCAGTTAGGACATTAGACGACGTATGGCACTGGGATAGTCAGCTGCAAAGGAACTCTTTCAAGTGCTGACGAGCAAGGATGTCTCCATGAGGACTAAGGTGCACCTGACACAAGCCATGATATTTTCAATTGCTTCGTATGCATGTGAGAGCTGGACAATGAATAAGGAAGACCAAAGAAGAGTTTATGCTTTAGAGTTGTGGTGCTGGTGAAGAATTCTGAAAGTACTATGGAATTATAAAAGAACTAACAGATCTGTCATGGAGGAAGTACAGCTGAAATGCTCCTTGGAAGCAAGAATGACCATAGTTCATCTCGTCTACTTTGGTCATGTTGTCAGAAGGGACCACTCCCTGGAGAAGGATGTCATGCTTGGTAAGGTGGAGGGTAGACAAAAGAGGGGAAGGCCTTCAACGAGATGGATTGACATGGTGGCTGTAACGATGGGCTCAAGTATTCCAAGGATCATGGACCTGGCGCAGGATCAGGCGGTGTTTCATTCTGCTGTGCATAGGGTCACTATGAGTTGGAAATGTCTCAACGGCACCTAACAACAACAACAACAACATGCCACCAGGCTAAAGAGTGATTCCTAAGTGTTCTACTGAGATGCAGCTTGGGAAAAGAATATACTTGACAATCACCTTTATTGGATCAAAAAACTGCCCTGAACAACAATAACAAAAAACTCCACTTGCCATTTAGTTGATTCTGACTCAGTTGATTTTATCAGAGTAGAACAATGCTGCATAGGATTTTTAATGGCTGAGTTTTCAGAAGTATATTGCCAGCCTTTCTTTGAAGGACACTTTGGGTAAAATTGAACCACCAGTCCTTTTGTTAGCAGCCAAATGTGTTAACTCTTTGCACTATCCATAGATTCTACCCTTAGCAAATCTCACCCCAAATCACTATAACATTCATCACTAAGAAATAAAAATAAATAATAGTACTAACATTTATGCATATTATGCACAGTTCCACATATCCCTGAGGTTTTTGGGGGTGATCCTTCTCACTGCCTTGTTAGAAGAAAATATTTTTGATTCTTTGGAGGGGACCACCTCTAATAATGTCACCTTGATTCACAAACATGTTATCATCACTACCAGTCTCCTTTGATCCAAGGAAGAAATTGAGACTTAGAGAGTTTGACTCGTCTAAATTCAAGTAGCAGAATCTGGGCTTCGAACTCAAATCTGCTAACTCTTTGGCTCCTTTCGTTAAACTGTGCTAAAGAGCCATTCAAAACGATATGCTCACACCTCTTTGGTGGTTGAATATTGATGAAAGATTTCAAAGAATGCAATAGTATGCCTCTGAATGGTGATATATATTTTAGGTACTGAAGCCTGGAGGCTGCACACATTGTTTCTGTTTTCTTTATCATTTATCACCCTCTGTTAAAAACTACCAAAGATTCTCCATGGAACGTCTACACAAGAATTAAAACCTTACACTTTTACAGGGAGCTCTGGTGGCATAGTGCCTAAGGCACTTGACTGCTAACTAGAAGGTTGGCGGTTCAAACCCACCAGCCACTCCTCAGAAGGAAGGTTGGGCAATCTACTTCCACAATGATACTGCCTCAGCAACCCAAGGAGGGGTCGCTATGAGTCGGGTCCGACTCGACAGCACATAACAACAACAACAACAACACTATTACAGCATTTCCAGGTTCTATTTCCCCGGTTTTCTACATAGTCTTTTGCCTTCTCTGCCTTCGTTTTCCCTTTCTTTCCTCTTGTTGTCTCACTAAATGCCTTTCTATCTCCCTATTACTGTCTTTTTTTGTAACTTCCTCTGTTTCTAATCATTTGTCCTATTTCTGTTCTTTGTCTTGATGTCTCACTGTCGATATTCACTCTCGCAACCTCCCTGACCCTGCCTTCTGGAGGAGAAAACTGCAGACTCATTAACCTTGCCCCCCTATAACCCACTCATTTGCCATCTTACACTCCCTTTGCATAATCGTTCCAAAAAATTTACCACATTCCACGTACTCCTTTGCCAACAACAGTATAGAAAGAAGAGTAGGCGATACTGATTTCATTTCTTAATTATATATTTCCCGGAAGAAGGGCAATGATGGCAGGTGAATTTTTACAAGGCTAACTGCTCTGTCTCCCTTTGCTGTCTTCCAGTTCCATTTGAAACATAGCTAAGATAGGAAGTGTGTATTTCTCTAAGGAATTCGAAAGTTCAGAGGACTTGTGCAACAGTGTAAAGACTCAGATCTATAAGCAATTGCTGGCAACATCTTATTTTCTGTGTGGAGAATATTGAGAGTTATTAGAAGAAAGAATGGCAGGCCCAGGGGTATTCTCCTCTATGAAAATTTGGAGAAAACAAAGTTAGATACTAGATTTAGAAGTAGAAAAATAAAGGTTTTTTTTTTTTTTTTTTTTTTTCTTTCCATATGTGAGCAGTTACCCAAGTAGTACAACAGCTTGAGGCCCTGTAATCACATGGGATGATGTGGAGGAGATAGTGGCAAGGTCCTTTATCATTGGTCCCTTAACTGTGTTCTTGGAATTGAGCAATTATAGCTTCCCTGTGTCCTCTGATGGCCTACTACAATTGGCATCTATACCAGAGAGAAATGCAAACTAACTAGCTCCCAAGTTCAGATTTTGAGTCTGAATTATATTTATTTTCATCTTTGGTTGAAAAAGTATGAAATGCTCAGATTGCTGAAGTGTTAATTTTCCATTCAGTACTTTCAACTGGACCGTCCCGTTCTTAAGCTGGCTGGCCATTGTCGCCCTCTGTGTGTTCACAGTTATCCTGTATTTCATTCCACTGAGATACATTGTCCTTGTCTGGGGTAAGTAAAGCCATTTTTTTTTTTTTTGCTTAACTGTCTTAGCTGCTAAGAACAAACTATTTTTTAAGGGATGAGTTATACTGTCAGTAGTTCTCTATATTTATGGTCATGAAGCTACTCCATGATGAAAAGAGACAAGTCAGTTAAAAATCACAACAGTATAAAGATTTAGGTCTACCTGCAAAATGCATTTTTCTTATCTGGCACCATAGGCTCCATCATACTATAAACATGTAGTTGTTCAGAATCTCCATATATCAAAGTGTAGCTTTGTCTAGATATCACTCTGATTTATTTTCACCACTTATACACAAACAGAGGCATTTCAATCCATATGGTACCTTTAGGACACTATGCTTTTGTGCTGTGGTACTTTATTTTGCGGAAGTGTATGCATTGCCTGGACTGTACATGGGCACCTGTTTAAGAGGTCACCTTTAGAAGGCAGGAAGAAAGTCTTTGGCACTTACAGGCCACTTAGGAACAAGAAACCTGCTTTCTGTCTACTAAACTAGAATGCTTCTCCAAAAACTTACTCTAAAGGTAGTTTTTTTTGGTCTTCATTTTTAATGTAATTATGCTGTATGCCAACAGTTCCTATGAGCCTGGACTCCATTTAGGAAGTGGCCAGTTTCAGCATTCTTTGTGGTTATTTGTTTATCTTTCTTGACAAAATTCTTGGTTTGGAAAACTCAACTTTCAGTCTCTAAGGTCTACTAACAAAGAAAACTACTACATTAAGGATTTCAAATATATATGCATATATATACACCAGATTGTGTAGAAGTAGACTGGTATTTTCCCTGGGCCTGGACATACATGGAGCTCTGGTGGCGCAGTGCCTAAGGCATCTGACTGCTAACCAGAAGGCTGGAGGTTCAAACCCACCAGCCACTCCTCGGAAGGAAGGTTGGGCAATCTACTGCAGTAGTGATATGGCCCCAGAAACCCAAGGAGTGGTTGCTATGAGTCAGATCTGACTCGATAGCAGGGAGTTTGGTTTTTTTTTTTTTGCACATACATGCACCTAAGATTGTTATTGTTGTTCTTATGTGCCATTGAGTCAGACCCGATTCGTAGCGATCCCTCCTTGGGTTTCCGAGGCAGTATCACTATGGAAGTAGATTGCCCCATCTTCCTGTTAAACCAATAAAAAAATGCAAAGAACCAAATGGGATTTTAACTTCAGAAAACATCAGCTTACACTAAGAGCAAAAAGATCAAAGGATGTTTTAAAAGAAATATACTGGAATAAAGTGAGCGGGGGTCTCACGCCTCCAAACCCTCTAGTTTTAAGATTCCTATCTCCCTATTCTTTTTGTCCCGCCTTGTCAAATATTTGACAGGCTCTTTTATTATTCTCATCAGTTATCGTTATCTTTACCTTTACACCCTGGGAGTAAATGGTGATTTTTTTTCCCTTTCCTAATTTCTAGAAACTCAAACTTAAACAACACTCACTATTCAAGAGAAGAGGCATTCCCATCATGTTCTTGCTCCCCTATTTTATGTTCAAGTCCTCATCTCTCATTCCATCCTCTGATATTTAAAACAGATGCTGCTTTATTGAAGGAATTAACTAGTATGTCACATGCAGAGGCTTATTACCTCTAACCTACTCAGGGTCAGACCTGCCTCAGGCTCACGGAGCACCTCTGTTGAACAATAGGTGGGGAACCTCCGCCTGTTTTGTTTCACCAGGTTCTTGGAAACTGGAGCCCATGGCAGACATCTGGTTATGTAACCTAGGGTGGCCTCACTGGCTAGCTGTCTTAAAAGTAATTTTTAGGGAATGTGTTTGGGCCTCTTGTTTCATCAAGTGAAATAAAATAATATTCCTTTAGTGGTAGGTGATTGCTGAAATATTAACTAGAAGTTTAAGATGTGACATGAGTCTCTCTTGGGGAGACAGAGACCAATATCAAAATTCCAGAAGAAGGTTATTCTGCATGAAATTCCCCAAAAAGAGCTTATATGCTCAAGTTATATGGCTAAGTTTTTTTAATCAGCCTGTTGATTTCATGTAAAACTGTTAGTTGTTTCTATTTTGTAAAATCTAGTGGCAAACACTTCTGCATTTCAGGTCATTTTGAAAAACATCAAGGTCACATGTCTTCTGAACATTTAGTTTGAATAACAGCACCCTCTCCACAAAAGCTGTGTCTTTAAATAAAAAAGAAAAAGAGAAAAAAAACCCCAATAAATCAGACCTCCTGCTTCTAAAAATAACCCAACCCAAAATGTAGGAAGACAAGTTTAATCTTGAATGAAACATTGAAACAAGGCTTCGAAGAACTATGCTGTTGTTGTCAGGTGTCATCGAGTTGGCTCCAACTCATAGCAACCCTGTGTACAACAGAATGAAATACTGCCCGGTCCTGTGCCATCTGCACAATCCTTGCTGTGCTTGAACTCATAGTTGCAGTCACTGTGTCAATCCATCTTGTTGAGGGCCTTTTCCTTTTTCGCTGACCTTCTACTTACCAAGCATGATGTCCTTCTCCAGGGAATGGTCCCTTCTGACAACAATACCAAAGTAAATGAGACAAAGTCTGGCCATTCTCACTTCTAAGGAACATTTGGACTACACTTCCTTCAGGACAGATTTGTTCGTTCTTCTTGCAGCCCATAATATTTTCAGTATTCTTTACCAACATCACAATTCAAAGGCACCAACTCTTCTTAGGTCTTCTTATTCATTGTCTAGCTTTCACATGCATATGAGGTGATTGAAAATACCATGGCTTGGTTAGGCATGGCTTAGTCTTCAAAGTGACATCTTTGTTTCTTAACATTTTAAAGAGGTCTATGAACTTTAACACTGAGGAAAAAGTAAGATTTGTCATTGCTCATTCCAGCTAGTCTCAACTTTTGTTTCCCAAATAGAAAGCCTTTTCTTCTAGGAAGAAGCTACTAAAAACAAACCAGCAGTTGAGTTGGGAAGGAGGGAGGAAGAAGAGGAAGGAGGAAAAGAGGAAAGAAGGAAGAGATAGCAGGAATGAGGGGAAGAAAAAACTGGGTTTCTTGATTTATTCTGTCCAGGCTGCCCAGCAGACCCCAAGCCAGATCTGCAAATCACTGCAACACTTTTGCCAGAAACATCCTCTCTACAAAAAGAGATTAGTCCCCAAACTGTTGGCATTTTAATAATGTTTGAGCTCTCATTTTTCTAGGCATCAATAAATTTACAAAGAAGCTTCGGAGTCCATATGCAATTGATAACAATGAACTACTTGACTTCCTTTCCAGAGTCCCTTCAGATGTACAAGTGGTATGTAGATTTCATTATTATTATCATTATTTTTTTTAATTTAGTGTGGCATTGGATTTTAACTTTTATATCCCTTTAATTTCAAGGTTGTAGAAGAGCCAAGTGAAGTTAAAAAGTCTGTAGCAGATTTTGCCATTCAGGAATTTAGCCCACAGTGGGGGATATCCAAAAATTTATGGAGAATGTTTGAGGAATGGGAGAGTAAGAAAGGGTTGCCCCAAGAATTCACAGAGCTTTCAGGGACAGTCTCCCTCCAAGTAAAATTCAGTTATGTTTGTGAAGGCGATGGGCTTTGAGTCACCATTACCTGTGAGGTAAGGATAAGAATATTAGATAATGAAAGTAAAATGTGCCAGTAAGCATTTAAGAGAAACAAAAAAAATTCCAGAACTTTTATGGATTAAATGAATTTATCCATATGATAATTATCCATTACATCGAAATAAGAAGATGAATAAAACCAAAACCAAAACCAAACCCATTGCTGGCAAGTTGATTCCAACTCATGGTGACCTTACGTGTTACAGAATAGAACCAAGCTCCATAGAGCTTTCTTGGCAATAATCTTTAGGGAAGCAGACCCCTTGAATAAATGAAGCTATTTAGGAGATCAGTGAGGTATGGGGAGGAAGGTGACTGCTTTTGAAGACTGGAGCACATCTCAAAATTTTTTTGAAATCCTTTAACCACTATTAACCACTAACCATTTTCAGAGTAAAATGAGAAACATTGTTATCAAAATCTTGAAGCTGGGTTGCAGCAATATATTTTTTCTTTGTTTTAACCTGATAAGATTTATTTTGATTTGATATCAAACATGAGAGTGAACAGGACGGAGATTAAAATTGTATTAAACAAACAATAACTTGCAAAGAACCATTATCTAGCCCTTCAAAATCGATTGAGATGGTTTTACTTTTAATGTAATACGTTTTGGAAGGCCTATTACCAAAGTTCTTATCAGGGTTCTCCTGCAGTTTGGGGCAGGATTTCTCTTCTAAATATCCCTCTATCATTCTATTGTTTTCTGTATCCCAGCTGCAGATCCCATACAGCTTCCAGAGTGAGCACTTTTTTCCCCCAAGCAATCTCTCATTACTTTGCTTTTCCTTCCTTTGCCAGAAAGTGGCCACCTGACCAGTCTTTCTCTGAACTCTGTTTAAACAGGTGCAATACCAAGAACTGAAACCAGATCCTTCTCATAGCCCATGTAAAAGGAAGAAAAACAATCTTGGATAGCCAGCTCCAAGCACCGAGGAGCCCAGCATCTGTTTGGGAAGATAAAAGAAAAAGCCTTCAGCCTCAGTAGCATTTCCTTTCTTTCTGCTTTTTATTTATTTTGCCTTTTTATCATGATCGAGAGGATTTGTAAATAGTGTACAAAGGCATATGTATTTAAAAATACACTTCCACTGCCCAGAATCAATTTGATAAAAGTTTAGCTATTGCTGAGTGAAAGCCTTGCTAGCTGTGGGTAAAAATGTAACACGTTGAAACAAACAAACAAACAAAATGTAAGAATGATGGCAATGGGAGATACACATTTCTCTAATTACAAGTGGAAGAACCAGAATATTAAATTAAATGTTCAGCTGTGCTCTGATTAAATCGACACAAAATGTAAATGTCAACTTAATTTTAAAGTTTTTTTTAATGTAACTCTTTTTAATCCAGAAAGTAACCCATTCCAGTTTTCTATGTTTTATATGTTTTAAAAGGGGGGAAATCCCAAAACCTGAATAATGGATGCATTTCAGTTTATCCTAGATTATGACTTCAGATCCTGACATTCACTCCTGTGCAAATTATTTTGATACAACTGGCTGATTTTCTCATAGTGACCCCATGTGACATACTAGAACTGCCCCATGGAGTTCCTAGTCTGTGATCTTCATTGGAGTTGGTCTCCAGGTCTTTTCTCCCATGGAGCCACTTGGTGGGTTTGAACCACTGACCTTTCAGTGAGTTAGTATTGACTGAGGCACACAACAACAACAGGTTGATTTTAAACTAATGAGTTGAATGAAGTACATTCACAGTTCTCAAGAGAATCTTCAACACTCTGAAATTCTGTAAAGAAAACTTTCAAACCTTCTATCATTCCATCTAAAACCTGAAAATCTCTACAGGACTATATATAAATACTGCCAGGTTTATAAAAGATTGCTTAAATGAATTTTTATATCTACCACTACTTTAATTTATACTGATTTAGTAGATTAGTAACCCTGCTCAGTTGTCAAAAATACTAGCAAACTAACTCTGTATTGCTTTAGGTGTCATATTATGCCTTTGTGCATTAAAAATAATAATAATAATATTCAAGTATTCTCACAGGAAAAAAAAAGGTATTTGCTTTCTCATTAGGTTACTGAAATACTTTAATGCATACTGATTTTTGTTATTAGTGTCAATTTTAATGTAGAGGAGAATGCAGTGTGCTAAGTGATATGCCAGTGTTTCATTAGATTCATTTATGGAAAAACGTAATCATTCCTGATAACATGAGTGCATGAAAACGTGTTTTGTAAAATAAACTGCTTATGGGGAGAGGGGGATGTTTCACTACTTACCATAGTTTCTATAGTTAAAATTGCATTCCCAGTACTCTTATGGTAGTTTTTGTTACTTACTTCTGTGTGTATCAAGAAGGAGTATACCTCTGGAAAGAGAAATCATTTGGAGAGAATGTCTTCCCTGACATGGGAGACAATAATATGTGGTTGAAATTGCTGCAGACATGTTTTGTACCATTTTATTAATAATAGACCAGGATAGGGGTGAAAGTAGAGGTTATGCTAGAAAAATATAGAAAAGCCAGAAGCAAGAAATATATATTTCATTCTAATGGAAGATTCTTTAAAAAATAAATTTAATCTAATTAAAGCTGATTTTTTTTCAAAACTGATTTTTAAAGTATTTTTATTTTAAAAATATGTTGTTAAATACTGTTTCTTATGATAGAACTATTTTGATCTGTTTATACACAATGCTTGAAAGAATGTCAATTAAATTCCCTTTCTACAGAAAGGCTTTGACCTCAATATGCTCTATTTAGTGCATCATGTTTTTAAGGACATGCTCACATATGAATACCATCACTGTTTGTTGCTAAGGCATAATACACTATGAAGTTGATGTTACTACAGAAATTTCACTGATGGGACAATTTGTTTGAAATAACTTCCGGTAATAACTTGTGTGAGATTTATGTTCTATGTTGACAGTGTCTACTCTGATGTCTACAACCTCAAATGTACTTACTGGAGAGTAACCATTAACAGATGACTAATTTGTTTGTTTCCTTGTATCAACTTTCAGATGTTTAGTTCAATGGTAATGTTGACTACACACATTCACTGCATTAAATACAAAAGAAAATAATCCTTTCTAAGTATAATCAGTACTCCTTTCTCTCTATCTTGTGTGTGTGTGTGTGTGTGTGTGTTATATAATGGCTGAGAGAAGAGTGATGGTGGATTGTGTGCATATTCCTATAAATGATACTTGGAGAATATAGGTTTGGTTTGGACAACCAGCGTTTTCCCTCTTATCTTGGCTGTTCATATGAAATTCAATACCTTTGGAGGGGAGAGCATCCAATGAAACTGATGGTGGAGTAAAAACTATCTTGAGATATGAACATGATACTCAGGAGAATCTTGCTTTTAGGAAGTGCTACATTCACAGGCTGAAAACAGAGATTGCATGTGGTAGAATTTAACTATTTCATTCCCCTTTCACATAAGGTAGAATTTTGCCTTTTGAGAGCTGTGTAACTTGCCTTGATTTTAAGAATTTTGCCATGTAAATATTTCAGGATATCTCTAACTAGGAGAATGGATGTCATTCTGACACCTACTTGGACTGCTAAATATAGTAGTCTTTGTAAACGACTAAATATTTTCTTCAGTATCTTTTAGTAAATTCATTGAAGGTTATTCATTATTTATATTTATATTCCAAGCTACTATAATTGCCATTAATTGTGATAAATCCTAACAAATGCCTATTTGTGTACATTGTAATATTTTTTAATTATAAAAAGTGTATAGTAATCCTTGTTCATGTTATCACTGTTCCACACTCAAATTGGTAGATTCTGTAGTGACTCCAAATTATTTTTGAACCATATGTATCACATATGCCTGCACTAGGATAATCTGAGCTGGGAGAATCTCTAAATGACTTACTCTGTGCTATATATATTGAGTGCCTACTTCATGACTTCCTCTGTGCTATATATATTGAGTGCCTACTTCATGTGAGAGCTGGACAATGAATAAGGAAGACAGAAGAAGAGTTGATGCTTTTGAGTTGTGGTGCTGGCGGAGAATGCTGAAAGTACCATGGACTGCTAAAAGAACTAACAGATCTGTCCTGGAGGAAGTGCAGCCAGAATGCTCCTTGGAAGCAAGAATGGCCAGACTTCGTCTCACCTATTTTTGTCATGTTGTAAGAAGGGACCATTCCTTGGAGAAGGATGTCATGCTTGGTAGGGTGGAGGGTCAACGAAAGAGGGGGAGGCCTTCAATGAGATGGATTGACACAATGGCTGCTATGATGGGCTCAAGCATAGCAGGGATTGTGGGGCTGGTGCGGGATCGGGCAGTGTTTCGTTCTGCTGTGCAAGGGGGCGATATGAGTCGGAAACGACTCGACGGCACTTAACCACAACAACAACACTTCATGACTTCCTCTATCATAGGCAATTGTCAAACCAATGATAATATTAAAACCAAATCTGGAGCTGAAGTATAATGAGAGCCAAATCTGATACATTTCTGAAAGTAACTTTTAATAGGTTTTCTATTCTGTATTTAAAAAAAAAAAAAAAAAGAAAGAAAGAAATTCAGTACTACGCTCTCTTAACCAGGGACCATAGGAACTTTTTTCCACTTCGATCTCAATATCAAAATGTCTCTAATGTGGAAAGTTGTCTACTCTGTATTAAGTCTTATCCCAGAAGCTTTTCATACCAGTTTATACACTTGTTAAATGTGCCTAAGTATTCATAATCTTTTCAAATTTTATACTAACTTTGCATTTAAAAAAAATTGTGTGAGGTAGTTGATGCCCCATAAATGCAAAGGCTCACCATTGAACTTCTTGGAAAAGCCTCAGGTACTATTAATTGATGCTTGTTTAAATACTAGGGCTTTAAAAGAGTCTGGGGTGGGGGGAGTGCATGCATACACACCTTTGCATGCACAAATGCCTATTTATTGGCTTCATTAGAGTATCTACAATCAGCTTTTTCTAAATCCCTAGTAGAATGTGAATTCAAACCACATTAAAAAATAATATAATGAATTCTTGCAATTGGTTTATTGCTTTCATTTATAATCCTCTTGCCCAAAAGGACTGGTGTAACTCACCAGAAAACAAAACCACACACACACACACACACACACACATAAGAACATGTTTCTTGGTGAAAATGTTACTGTCTTAATGCCTTGGTTATTCCATTTGTACATTGGCAATTTATATAGTGGCAGTCACATCACATCACTTATTCCATCTGAATCTTTGAGATTTAAGAAATACCAAGAAAAATCTCTCTTAGAATACTATGCAAACGAAAACCAGTAATACAGAAACTGTGAAAGGTATGCTCTAACTTGATGATTAAATCTGTACTTTTCCAAGGGGATCTAAGTACCAGAAAAATGAAACAAATGTGTAATTGCTCTTAAATGAGTTTCAAGTTATTGGGATCATCCTTCCTACAAATTCTAAGTTTTTTTTTTTGTTTTGTTTTGTTTTTTTAAGTGTGGGGCAATCTACTTCTGTAGTGATACTGCCTCGGAAACCCAAGGAGGGGTCGCTAGTCATAGGGTCCAACTCGACGGCACATAACAACAACAACAGTATATGAACAAGTAGTATTTTTCTAAGGATACTTAGGTTTTTTGTTTGTTTGTTTAATTTTTTATCTATATGAGAAAAATTTTGTGTCTTCAAGCAGGGCTGAAAAATTATATAACTCCATTTTTAAAAAAGTTACCAAATAACACTGCCCTTTTGGTCTAGTCAATGAAGAGTGTTACTGTGTTAAGCTGAAAGTGTTAGGGCAAACAAATGTGGTCCAGAATAGTACCTATGCAAAAATCTTTCAGTTTGAGGCAAAAATGAAATCTCAACATAATTCATTCCTGTAGTAGATTCTTGAATATTCCCTCAAGAAAGAAAATGAGTGGCCAACCTAAGAATCAATATGTGATCAAGAAAACCACCTTTTTCTCTACAGGAGGAATGTATCTGATGATATATAGAGAACGGCCAGACTGCTGCTACTAGTGAAGCAAGATAATATAAGTTCAGCTACAAATAGCACGAGTCCATTTGAGGCATTTTATTTTTCCCAGAGTTTTTTGCTTTTGTTTGGAGAAAATACTAAATATATAGAGAAAGAAGCATACCTAGGCTCAACCACACTTAGTTGTCTTTTGCATTGCCAAAGACATACCTGTTGTCATTGTTAGGAGCCATTGAATTGGTTTCCACTCATAGTGATCCTATGTACAACAGAACAAAAAATTACCCGATCCTGTGCCATCCTCATAATCATTGCTATGCTTGATCCCATTGTTGTAGCACTGTATCAATCCATCTCCTTGAGGCTTGTCCCTTTTTTTACTGACCCTCTACTTTACCAAGCATGATATCCTTCTCCAGGGACTGGTCCCTTCTGATAACATGACCAAGGTATGAGATATGAAGTCTGGCCATTTTCACTTATAAAGAGCATTCTGGCTATACTACCTCCAAGACAGCTTTGTTCCTTCTACTGGCCAAACCCAAACCAAACCT